GCTTTGTGTGGTCATTTCCTTTCCTGCCTTCCCTCCCATCCAGCTGTCCCTTCTGGTTGTGTTCTTACTTATTTCTGACTATGCTTGGAAGCAAGTTGTGTGAAACCCAGATTTTCTGAATTGCCAGCATCAGGGAGACAAGCTGGCCAACCAGTGTCGTAATGAACTAGAGCCAGTGGTTCTCAACCTTCTGGCCCTTTAAATACAGTTCCTCACGTGACCCAACCATAAAATTATTTTCGTTGCTACTTCATAACTGTAATGTTGCTACTGTTATGAATCGTAATGTAAATATCTGATATGCAGGATGGTCTTAGGTGACCCCTGTGAAAGGGTCGTTCGACCGCCAAAGGGGTCGCGACCCACAGGTTGAGAACCGCTGAACTAGACGAGAGAGGACCTAGAGAAAGCACCCTGGCTGAGGAGCCCCAGGCCCGGCTCAGGTCCCAGCCCTGGTGTCTTCAGCTGTTTGAGAGTAAGTCACTTCGTCTCTCATGTATTCACATCACTGAAATGAGGGAGTGAGCAACGATGTTCGCTAAGGTTTCTTCCAGGAAATTCGGGGCCACTCTTATCTGAGTATTAGAAAATGACTGAAGGTCATGCAGTCTGTGAAACTGCACAGCCTGCGGTACGGTCACGGTCATGTTTGTGCAGTAGCCCTCCTACTGTACCTGCTGGAATGTGAACACGTGGGCTGCTCCATCGCACTCACGTGCAATAAGAAGTGGTTTCTTCATTTTCTGCCAGGAGATAAACCACAGGTGCTATTTATTTCCCTGGAGGACTATATACATGACATGGGGTTTATTAAATTTGTCAAATGCAATAAGAGAAAATCTGCCATCTGATGCTGAGAGAGCATTCTGGCACCAGGCCAGAGTACTGCGTTTGCTCGCGGGAATCAGGCCTAACAGGAACGTCCTTTGGTTTGGTTTGATTCATCATGGGCCAGCAATGCGTTTGCACCCGCAGGAATCAAATTGATAGATCAGGTGGTAAAGCTGATCCTTGAATTGTGCGTTGATTTGCAAATACTCTCCTGAACTAACAAAAGGAATGGTGAGAGTTTCCCAAATACCTAATTATGCGTAGCAGGAACCCAAATATTTTTCTCACAACATCATTGACTATCACTGAATTCAAGGGAGGATATTTTGTTCCATTGAAGTTGCCATCATAGACAGAACCTGTACCTGCCTGGGAGCATAGGACCAATTTCAAGGAATCCCAGACCCTGTCATAATTCCATGACTGGGGGGTGCGTGACTGTTCCTTAGGGAAGCTGGGGATACTGTTGGCTCCTCAACTCCCCCTGGAGACAAAATTTAACAAATGCATACACATTGAAATACGCATGCTCAGAAGGCCTGTCAGTCTCCTTTCTGAAAGAGATTTGAGTTTTAATAAAGAACAAAGTCTAAACACCAAAAAGAAGGATTTCTAATGACAGAACTTTTTTTTTTTTTAAATGTGGATTCATCATTTTGATTTCATTTTTTTGGACTAGTGGTAACTTTTTAAAATAGATTTTTTATTGATTTTTTACAGAGAGGAAGGGAGAGAGATAGAAACATCGATGAGAAACATCGATCAGCTGCCTCTTGCACACCCCCTACTGGGGATTTGCCCACAACCAAGGTACACGCCCTTTACCGGAATCGAACCTGGGACCCTTGAGTCCGAAGGCCGACACTCTATCCACTGAGCCAAACCGGTTAGGGCATCTAATGACAGAACTTGGGATACCACCTATTCAGGTAGAGAAGGCTACTCTGGGGGCTGGAGACTGGGCACTGGGCTAGGCACTGTGGCTACAGAAACAAGTAAGACAGGGTCCTGGCCCTCAGAGACATTCATATTCTGAAGAATCCATTCATAAAAACTGATTCAAAGCCAGCAACACCACCTAAATGCTGTTGGAAGTTCTGCAGCTTATTTCTACAGCTGTCTATGGTATCTTTCCCTCCTTGGAAAATATGTTCTAAATCCTGTTTTCTTGGTCTGTTAAAAGTCCATGCTGTCTCTAATCAACGTATAGCTATGTGTAACCTTTGTGGACAGCCTTCGAAGGGAAAGGCAGAGAAATCTGGTTTAATGGCTTGAAAAGCATTGGAAAGAGTTTAGAGAAAGTTGACAAGCTTCCGAAGCATTCATATCTGCTAGTGTTCGTTCAGGCATGGGGTGAGGCAGGGGGAAGGGCCTCCAGCACGGGAAACCCAGGAGACCCCCTTGGAAGAGTTAGTGAGGTGTAACTGGCTTATAGGCATGTGTAAGCATGTCTGCTGAGCAAAAGTGGAGGAGCAGGTTTGGAGGCAGGGAATTGTGGTGGAAGCAGATTCCAGAAAACAACCTCGAGCTGGCTCATCTCCTGACTCATCTGGCCCAGCCTCCTGCCTCCACACACATCCTGTCTGCAGTGCGTCTGGCCACCTGCTTCTTCAGCTCTTGAGAGATGGCAGCTCTATAGTCCCCCTGTCATCTGTTCCAGAGCCAGCCCCTTCTCACTTAGAAGTGCTTGCTTTCAAGGAGTGGCGGCAGGAGAGATGGGGTCAGAGGGAAGACAAGCAGCCCGAGTCAGGGCAGAGGACCCAGTGACAAGGAATGGTGACGAGGAATTTCGCACTTCCTCCACACTCCAGAGCGCCCACCCCTCCCCCCCCAACACTGGAAGGTGGAGCCCGCCCACCCAGATGCCCCATCTGGCACAGTGGAGGTGCCTGTGCTGCTCTGAGAAACAGTGGGAATCTAGACCTGCACCGCCTCCCAAGAGGAACTGTGTTTAATTCAAAGGGCTGTTACTCTCACAATGCCCCCTCCCATTTTCAAAGGAATGTAAGTGAAGGCACGCTTTCAGCTCCCCAGTGTGTTTCGTGCACTCTGCCTGAGTAATCACTTTTCATACCTGGGCGTGGGGCAGAGGAACCTTGAGTTGTCCAAGTGGACCTAGATTCAAGTCAGGTGACCATGTCTTATCCATTCAGACTTTTCCATCTGCCTCCACCCTCTCACACTCCTAGAAGCAAGCCACAAAGCCTGTCCAACCAAAACCATTATCCCAACGCCCAAGCACTCTTGTTCTCCTGTTCTCAAGCCAGGGTGTGTTTGGTTTCATTTTGCAGGGGCAGCAGGCAGAAGAGAGTTGAGTGGGATGGCTGCAGAAATAGCAGAGGCAGCTGCTGGTGTGGGAGCCTTTAATAGTCCCATTGTCACCACTCTCCACACTCGGGGGCCTCACATGCCAAACAGGGTCTCCCTCACCCCATTCCCTGGGGTTCCTGGAGGTGACCCAGCCCTTGGCTTTAGGCCTCCCTCTAGACCTTGAATGCCATGCCTTCCCCTATTCCTCCTCCCAGTCCCGGCCACACTGAAGCCCTTAACTCCTTTTCAGTCTGTGGAAGAACGAAGTCCTTACCTATGGGGGTCCTGGGAGTGGTTCCGGTTGAAACCGCTGCAGTGGGACAGACATAAGAAGTTCCGGCTGCCCTAATGCCTGCCTCTGGGCTCTGAGTTAAGAACAGGCCAGGCCAGTCCCAGGGGACTGAGGATAGAGCACATGATGTATTGAGCTTCTCCCACCTCCAGGACCTGACTTTAAAATAGCACCTCTAAGTCCCAGGTGATTACAGGCTCCTGACAGCCGGTGCTCTCTTCCTGTGATGCCCCGTGGTCTCTTGGCAGGAGGTGTGGTGCAAATATGAGCGGGTGCAGAGAGGGGGCTTAACATCTGCCCGCACAGAGACGATGCTGGGGGTCCCAGCTCTGCGACCTGGTGGGTCTATGCAACTGTCAGAACATGAGTGTGTGGGATGAATTCTCCTAGAAAGGGTTCTGTGAGTTTTTAAATAATTCTTACCATGTAAAGGTTGTATTACATTTTAATAAAAGAAATTGTTTTGCATTTTACTTTTTCAACAATTGAGGTTTTCTAGATTTTTATTTTATGGCCAAGTATACTTTTGTAAGGAAATGTTGAAGTCGTATTTTTGTTCTTTTAAAACCATAGTTCATGTCAACTATAAGCACTGATCAATATTATTCATGTGCAATTTTCCTTCCTTTCCATTGGGCCTTTCTAAGAAACTGTTTTGGCATAGCTTTTTATTTAAAACTTCATTTTACATGTTGTGCATACTGAAGATTCTAAAAAATAAAGATGCATTTAAAATCTCTGTGCTGTTACGTTGTAGAAATGGTAATGTGCTTTGCTTTGCCAAAGTGGTAATTAAATGTTTAATGGTTTAGAACTCTGAGCTCAGAATGGAGGCTCTAGTCATTACTCGCAGTGTGGGAGCTTCCACACAGGCTGGCTTTTGGGGAGAATTCACATTAGAATGGCGATCGCCTGTTCAGTCAGGAAATACGGTGATGTTGACGGTGTAGTGACTGTGCTGTGCTTTTGCAATAAATGTGTATTGAAAGCACTTGTGCTAGCGTGGTCCGCATTTTGTTTTTAACCAAACTCCAAATGGCAGGAGACGTGAAGCCAAAGCTCCCTGAGCGTTTGGGCAGCAAGATGTGGTGGGAAAAACGTGAGCTTGGGAGCAGAACAGGCTGGGCCACTGAACCCTGCCCCTCAACAGACAAGCCCCGAGGCTTGGGAACTCCTTCATCTCTTTTGGAAATCCTGTGTTCTCATCCATTAAAAATACATAATTAAAGCCCTGGCCCTGCCCTCGCTGGTTATAGAGTGTCAGCCTTCGGATTAAAGGGTCCCAGGTTCGATTCTGGCCAAGGGCACATGCCCAGGTTGCGGGCTCGATCCCCCAGGTAGGGGGCGTGCAAGAGGCTGCCAATCAATGATTCTCATCATTGATGTTTCTATCTCTCTCTCCCTCTCCCTCTCTGAAATCAATAAAAAATATATTTAACAAAATATTTAAAAAAATAAAGCCCTGGCCGGTGTGGCTCAGTTGGTTGAGCATCATCCCGTGCACCGAAAGGTTGCTGGTTTGATTCCCTGTCAGAATACATGCCCAGGTTTCGGGTCTATCCCTGGTCTGAGTAGGTGTGGGAGGCAACAATTAATGTTTCTCTCTCCCTCTCCCTCTAAAGACCAATAAAACATATTTTTAAAAATACATAATAAAAATAAAGGAGGGGGGAGAAATTAGGCTTCCCTCCCATGAGTTTTGTGATGACAGCAAAAAGTGAGGAACATGGAGCACCTGGCACATTGGAACTGTTGAAGTCGTGAGTATTTTTCTTTTTTTTTTCCTTTTTATGCCTGGTGTTACTTGCCTTCTCCCCTTCCTTCCCTCTTATATCTCTCCCAAAGTCATTTTTATTTTTTTAATATTCAAGTTAAAATGTATTGGCATCTGAGAAAGAAGATTGTGATTAGATGTTTACATATTTAATGCTGCTTCTAATTTTTCATGGAAGCTAATTCCCAAAACTGTTGATCACAGCTGGATTGAAAGAGCAGCTGGGGAATGAGGTGATGTTGTTTATGTAAGTAAACAGTACCCTAAGTCCACTGGAGACCCAACGGGATTTGCCTTGTGGAATTCGAAACAAATGAACAAGCAGCAAAAGCCATTGAAGTAGGTCCAGATCCATTGCTAAAACATGGGGGCACTTCCTTTCTTAGTTTCTAAGCAAGTTCATCCACGAGTGAGTGGCCAGGAGCCCAGTCCTGGAATCACTTGGAGTCGTGAACGTCCTTTAACCTTGCGGAGGAAAGTTTTTCTTAATCTTCCCGGATTAGTTTCCAAACTGTCCTATTCTCCTCTTACAGGTTCCAAAATCTTCATTTTTAAAAATACAGAAAAATATAATGCTTTCTTTACATCTCATTGTGAATAGTTTTAATATAGAATGGATCATCACTGTATTTTTGTTTTATATTTTTAACATGTCATGAACATTTTCCCATGACAAGGGACACTTTTATAATTTAAGGTTTTTAATTTTATTTTTGGACATTAAGGTTGTTTCTGAGGAGATGTATTCTGGGGAAATACATTGTTTGATATTTATCTTTGTCCTAGTTTCTCAGTATTTTCCTATGAAAGATATCTAGAAGGAGAATTACTTGGTTCAGGTATGGAGACTTAGCTCCTGACACATATCCTCATATTAATTTAACTAGAGGCCTGGTGCACAAAACTTGTGCATGGGGGGGGGGGGGTCCTTCAGCCAGGCCTGTGCCCTCTCACAGTCCAGGAGCCCTCAGGGGAAGTCCATCTTAAACTATACTGATCCCCTGAGGATCAGGCCTAAGCTGGCAGTCGGACCCCTTGCTCCTTACCGCTCCTTACTGCCCGCCTCCAGGGCTGGCCAGCTGTGAGCCTGGCTTCTGGCTGAGCTGTGCTTCCCCTGTGGGAGCACGCTTACCACCAGGGGCAGCTCCTGCATTGAGCATCTGTTCCCTGGTTGTCAGTGCAAGTCATAGTGACTGGTCATTCTGCTGATTGTTCTGCCATTCGGTTGATTTGCATATTAGTGTTTTATTATATAGGATTATTTATCCAGCCTCAATGGAAAAACTGTTTCTTCTCTACACTCAGTACAGGCATACCTTGGAGATATTTCAGTTCCAGACTCTGCAATAAAGTGAGTATCACAATAAAGTGAGTCACACGAATTTTTGGGTTTCCTAGTGTATATAAAAGTTTAAACTATAATGTAGTTTATTAAATGTGCAATAGGATTATCTAAAAATGTACGTAAGTTAATTTTAAAATATTTTATTGCTAAAAAATTATGCTAACCATCAGCTGAGCCTTCAATGCATTGGAATCTTTCTGCTGGTGGAAGATCTTGCCTTTAATTTGTAAAAAAAAAGGCAGTGTCTCTGAAGCTCAATAAAATGAGGCAGGTCTATTCTCACTTCTGACATCAAATGTGTGGGGTTTTCCACACAAAGCAATTCTCGAATTCTCAGGAGACACCAACAATTTAACTCAATTCTGACACTAACTGCCCAGAGTTAGGGTAGACTTCAAGGTTAAGGCCTCAGCCCCACAGATGCACCCCCTCCCCACTACTTCAGGTGCAATGGCAAGCCAAGTTGTCACCTGTGTTTCTGACCAATGAAAGGCTTTAAATTAGGGGTTCTCATGAGCCTTTCCTCGGGTCTGATAATTTGCTAGGATGACCCGGAACTCAGGAAAACACTTTATGTACTAGATCACACATTTAAACTAGAGGCCCAGCGTGCATGAGTAGCTCGCTTCTGCTTGCCTCAGCTGGACAACCCGCTTCTAGCTCACACCCCTGCCCTCCACCCCTCATAGCTCTCCGCCACTAGTAGCTTGCGCCCTGCCCCACCCGCCAGGAGAGCTGCTGCTTGTTTGGTCTTGGCGTTATGGCGTCACGTCCAGAGGCCTTTTATTAGTATAGATACAACCCAGGAGTGACCCAGGTGGAGGAGATGGAGATATGGGGGAAGGGGCACAGAGCTTCAGCGCCCTCCAGGCACACCACCCTCTCAGCACCTCCATGTGTTCACCAAAGGCTCAGGTCCCAGCACCTTCAGTTAGGGTTTCTATAGGGGTTCATTAGCAATGATTGATTAAATCATTGGCTGTTAGAGATTAGCTCAACCTCCCATCCCTCTGCCCTCCCAGGAGGTTTCAGAGTGGGACTGAAGTTCGGTTTAATCACCGTGGTTAGTTCCCCTGGCAACGAGCCCCTGTACTGTAGCTATACCCCCATTTGTCTCATAAACATACAAAAAGACACAGCACTTAGGAGACTCTCCTGATTTTAGGATCTGTGTGCCAGAAAGTGGAGGCAGAGACCAAATGTCTATTTCTTATTGTGTCACAAGCCCCATTAAGTGTACCAGCAAATGAGTTTGATTCAGAGATGCTGCTCTGGTGGGAAAGTGACCAGTAAGGGTGACAGGAGGGCAAGTCACACTGGTCTCTCTTTCCCCTCCCTGTTCTTTTCTTCGCTTCTCATAAATTGCACACCCTTGACATGTATGAGCCTTGCTTCAACCCTTTAGTTCTTTCTTACATTAAAACACTGGATCTGCTGAGCATTAAGATCCCCTTCAATTCTGAATTCCAGTAAGTAAGAGGCCAGAAGGAGGCAGTATAAGAAGGGATGGAGGGAAGAAGAGAAATTCTCAAGTTCGGATAAATGGAGATAAATGGAAAGCCCTATAGAGGAGACTTTAGTTTTTCACTAGTGGTGTCTTGCAGAGCTGTTTCATGCATAATTTACTGGACTGGTATCTTCTGTCCCCAAAGGAAGCTAGGACATATTTTGGAATTTTGTCAACGAAGCAATTTTTGTGAAGCTCAAGACTATATTTTCCATATTTACTTTGACATACCAGTGACTTAGATTGCTGAAACAAACCTTAACCCCCATGCTTAGCTCAGTAACAATGATAACAATTTTGGGTGCTTATTGGGTGCCTGATACTGTTCTAAGCACTTTCCATGCTTTAGCCCTCACAGCAAACCCAGAGTACATTCTATTATTAGCTCCATTTTGCATAAGAAGAACAAATTGCCCAAGGTCAAATTGCTGGTTAGCGGTGTGCTGGATTAGAGGCCAGGCTGTGAGGATGCAGACCCCCGACTCCAACCAGGAGGCACAGGTCCTGGAAATCTCTCTCTCTCTCTCTCTCTCTCTCTCTCTCTCTCTCTCTCTCTCTCTCTCTCTCTCTCTCCTTTATTTTTAAGATCACTGCCAGACTTTGTTTCAGGCTCTGTTCTATAACATTTACTCTTCACAAAAGTCCTGCCAGGTAGGTGTCACTGCTCCCACCTCACACATCGCCCAGCCAGGAAATGGTGGGTCTAGAATGCAAAGGTCCAGGGGTCATCCTTCTGCATCAGGGGCTTTCAGATCAGGGCATGTGAGTGCAGGAGGTTCACAGGGTGCTGGATTTAAGGAAACCAAGTACGGCCTTTCCTAACGTACTTTCCTAATGTACATGGCTCCTGCTGATGGGAGGTGAGAGCTGGGTTCTATTTTTCCTACTTACCATTTCATCTTTGTCCATTTTCTACTTTATAAGTGACAGGTGTATCTCTCACACTTAGCAATGTTACTATGGAGGTCCTGGGATGTGAAAACCTGCCCACTGCCCCATAAAAGGGGAGGTATCGGGACAATTAGAAATACACATGTCCACAATGCCTCCTATAGTAAGTTATTATAGACCTTCATATCTATCCCTTTCTTTCTTTTTTTTAAAATATATTTTATTGATTTTTTTACAGAGAGGAAGGAAGAGGGATAGAGAGTTAGAAACATAAATGAGAGAGAAACATCAAGCAGCTGCCTCCTGCACACCCCCCACTGGGGATGTGCCCGCAACCAAGGTACATGCCCTTGACCGGAATCGAATCTGGGACCTTTCAGTCCACAGGCTGATGCTCTATCCACTGAGCCAAACCAGTCAGGGCTCTATCCCTTTCTTATACATATTTCTGTTACAGAAAACATGGCATTGTAAATGGGGTGCTCTGGCTCAGAATTCAGATGTAGTATAGAATGGGAGAGCAGGAGGGATGACAACTTTTGTTTAATAACCCCACCTTTGCCCTAACCGGTTTGGCTCAGTGGGTAGAGCGTCAGCCTATGGACTGAAAGGTCCCAGGTTCGATTCTGGCCAAGGGCATGTACCTTGGTTGCGGGCACATCCCCAGTAGGAGGTGTGTAGGAGGCAGCTGATCGATGTTCCTCTCTCATTGATGTTTCTAACTCTCTATCCCTCTTCCTTCCGCTCTGTGAAAAATCAATAAAATATATATTTTTTAAAAAATAACCCCACCTTTTCCATCCCCCAACTATTGTCAAAGATCATGAAACTCCTAAAGAACAGACCAAGAAAGCAAAGCAAGTGAGAGATGATGACCGTGGCAGGACCTTATCTCCCCCACATGACACCCTTGTCTGGGCTAAGGGCCTTATCTAACTGTATCTGTCTTAGAATCTTCCAGGTTGGAATAACACCTGCTGCGTGTGAAGGCTATCCATCCTCTCTGCCTCTCCACATGCCCAGCCCCGAGGAAGTGCTCTGAGAGGGCTGTCTCTCACCCAGGCCTGGCCTGGGTCCCAGGGGAAGCCTTGAGAGTATTCCAAAGACCAGGGGGGAAAGAAGTTCCCTATTTACTTCAGCCAGATCAGTGGTCAGCAAACTGTGGCTCCCGAGCCACATGTGGCTCTTTGGCCCCTTGAGTTTGGCTCTTCCTAAGACTTAGGAGTACCCTAATTAAGTTAATAGCAATGTACCTACCTATATAGTTTAAGTTTAAAAAATTTGGCTCTCAAAAGAAATTTCAATCATTGTACTGTTGATATTTGGCTCTGTTGACTAATGAGTTTGCCGACCACTGAATAGTACATCTTCAAGTAAAGGAAACACTGTAAGAGCTAAGTTATGTATTTTATATTTTCTTGGACACTTATTCACATTTTTTTAACAGCTTTATCAAGGTATAATTGCCTAACATATTTAAAGTGTACAATATGCATTTTGATACATGTACATACCCATGAAACCATCACTACCATAACTATGTGGGCATATCTACTGCCCCCTTTAATACCCCTCTCTCCTATCACTATACCCCATCCTAGGCCAACACTGAACAGCCCTCTGCCACTATAGATTAGTTTTCATTTTCTAGAATTGTATATAAATGAACAGTACAGTACAGTATGTACCCTTTATTTTTGGCTTCTTTTACTTAGTGTAATTATTTTGATATTTATTCAAGCTGCTGTGTGTATCAATAGTTTGTTTCTTTTTATTGCTGCATAGTATTCCATTGAATGGATATACCACAATTTTTACCCATTCACCTGATGAGGGGCTGTGTCTAGTTTTTGGCTTTGCAAATAAAACCTCTATTTTTTTCTTTGTGTGGACATATGCTTTCTTTTTTTCTTTAGTAAATACCTAGAAGTGGAATGGCTGGATCATGTAGTAAATACATACTTAACTATTTAAGAAATGGCCAGACCATTTTCTGAAGTGTTGTTCTGTAAATAATGCCCTTGATACTCAGCATTAATACATGTTTTGCAAGTCCTAAGATGGACTCTCTCTCTCTATTGTTAATCTTTCTCATTTTAGTAGTAAGTAATATTTATTCTAAACCACTGTTGCCTAAAATTTATTTTACATTTAATATTTTTTAAAATTCAAGTATCTCTATAATGTTTAATGTTAATAATAATTATGATATCTCAATTCCAATACTTGATTAACTTAGATCTTACAGTTATAAGAAATTTTTAAAAATTAACATTATAATCCATGTACACATTTTAGTTGCAGAGAAGTATGATAGTGTGAATATTAAGAGACTTTTGAGCTTAAAAATATGTTACATTGGGGTAAAATTCTGTGGGGTAAGTGGGATGATATTCACAGTCAAGGGTAAAGGAACAATGTGAATTTCCAATTGTTAAAGAACTCTTCCTGTATTTTTTTAAATGCTGTGCTTTTTAGGTTCTATTAGTTACATTTAAAAGAACAACTTTACTTTTAAACTAGAGGCCCAGTGCATGAAATTTGTACACTCAGGAGGGTTCCCTCAGTCCAGCCTGTACCCTCTTGCAGTTCGGGAGGCTCCCATCACCACCTCTGTGCTCACCAACCATAAGCCCTGCTCAGGGCTTATGGCTGAGCAGAGCTCCCCCTGTGGGAGTGCACTGACCACCAGGAGGAATCTCCTGCCCCCTGGTGGTCAGTGTGCATCATAGTGACCAGTCGTTCCACCGTTTGGTTGATTTGAATATTAACCTTTTATTATATAGGATGACGGTATTTACAATATGCCAGAAATTACATCCTTTGCAGCTCTTTACATTATGATGAAATATTCTAGATGTCAATGTAAAAATCTGAAGATGTAACTAAATTTTTCAAAATTCTTTCAGAAAGTATGTATGGGGAAAAAAAGATAATAATAATGGCCACTGCTCTACCCTTCAGGACCAGCAGGTGTACAAGAGTTGTTGGCTGGGTGCTGGTGTGCCTCTCTGAGGAGGGTGAGAAGACGTTCAGGAAATTGGATTTGCCTGAGCACATCGACTGCTTCTGGATGTGGCCAGGAAGGCAAACACGACTATGTCAGACTCCTCTTTTCTATGCAAGAAAAATTTAAAAGTAAAGATCATGAACCAGGCCAGTCTTACACCCTGTGGGTGGAGAATCTCCTTGGCCAGATATTGAGTGGAGGGAGAAGGTAGAAGAGAAGGTGGACCAGAAGAGTGAGTTCTGAGCTGCACCATGGTTGTCCATGAGACAGTGTCCTCCATGGTCACAGGAATCACAGAGTTACCTCAGCCATTCCAGCAAGGCAAGGTGTGTGGAGCCAAGAAAGGGCATCACCACCCCTCCCCCATCTCTCTTAGTCAGCCCAGTCTGTCTCGGTGGAGTCTCTGTGTGTCTGCTCCATTCTTCTACTGCTGTTGGCCAATCTTATCTTTATTCTTCATCACAAATCCCACAGAGTTCCAATCTGATTGGCTTAGCTGATTTTCCTTTGGGCTTCTGAGTCCTTCATGCCAGGCCACCCTGTGGCAGGTGGAGCCAACCAACGACCAAGTTGCTTGTCTGATGGGAGGAGGCCTGGTGTGAGGGTGGGGCTGCTTGAGAGCTTTGGGAACAATAGACTTGACAGGACTAGGTCTGATGAGTTCCTTTGAGTGTCATTCTGTGGGGTTGAGATGGAAGTCTGGTTCTCTCCATGCTTGCTTGTCCCAATCTCCTGCCACAAATCAAGTTGAAATAATGCCTTTATATTGCTATTTAGGGACCAGGATCCTATGCAGACATTAAAATGAAGATCAAGAAAACACAGGAGCCTTCTAAGTACAAAAAGATGCCCCAAGCATCCAGAGAGACCCCACTCCTTGTGCAGATGAAAGTGCTCAGTAGAGGGTCTGGAGGAAGCCATGGAGGAATTTGAGAGAACCCCAGGTCTTTTCCCAACTCCTGAAAGATGGAAAGGGGTGGAAGAAGGAAGTGTCAAGTGTCAAGTGTCCCTCTACCTAAAATGTCGGTCTCACCTGCCAGGTAGGGCTTGAAAGTCCCAGCATCACTTCTTTTAGGTGAGGCCTAGAAAGCCTAATTATTTTAATGCTAGGAAATTACATGAAGCAAGGATCTGCTTACCCAGCTAGTATTTTAGAGAACATGGTCCTAGGAAACAGAAGACATCGGACAGAGTTGGATGATGAAAGAACAGGTGTGGCAGGATCCTTGAGAGGGTCTGACCAGGTGCCTGAGGAACCAAGGCCATGCAGAGAAGGAGGGGACTCCTTGGAGGTGGAGGGACAATGAAATCACCTTGACTAACTCTCTGTAAAATTGTTTAACATTTGTTGACTCACAAAGACTATCATGAATCATTCTCTCACAATGTTCTTTTAACTCTCAACCTTTTCCCATATTTATTTACTATTTTAAAATGCTTACTTGTGTTTGGAAATACAATTAGCAGTTTCACAGTCATCATTAATGTGGCATTTTACTCTTACAATACTAAATATACATATATAGTATTTTAACATATGAAGCATAAGGAGATTTCTATTTCAAGGTCCGGGTATACATTTATAGCAAGTATCATCTATTAACAATAAATCTAAGTGGCGTGCCCTGTGCAAACCACTAGAGTTGATGTGCTGATTCAATACAATGGTAACCTATATAATCAAGCCTGTAGACCAGGCACAAGCTCAGGAGTTCTATAAATGATGACAAAGTACACATTCAGCGATTTAGACTTCCAGAAGTTGAGAGTGGAGGCCAATTCACAGATTTGGGGTTGAATATCAAGGTCAAAGCCAAACATTGGTGCATTTTATGTACATCCACATAAAGATACAGATATGTTTGTTTGTCCACCTCTATCTGCCTCAGGGAAGGGGAACCTGGGGCACAAGAACCAAGAACGAGAGACTCACTTGTCACTGGATTTCTTTTTTGTACTGTTTGATTTTTTTTTAACCCGATGCATGCATTCTTTCTAAATACCCACTATGCTCATTAAAGAAATGTATTAAAAATATATTGAAGAAAGTTGTACACTTACGTTCAAGGAGAGAAATGCTGTTGGTTGAGGAGGAATTTGGCGCTACCTACTTACACCTAGGAGAGCTGTGTGGCAGGGCCTACTTACAGCCTGCCCCCCTGGGAATCTTGCAAAGGAGACTTACTGGGGGGGAGGGGTGTGACCCTTATGTTTGAGAATGGCCAATGCTGGGCACAGCTGGATAAGAATGCCCCGAGTATGCCCCGGATAGAGATGAACTTTCCAATGACTTTGAGAGTTAGGAGTCCGACCCTGAGGCTGAGCACAGTCAGACGTGGAATTAGCTGGCCAGCCCTCGGGCACTGAGGGAGCTCAGGATGAGTCCAAAGCTTTGCCAGAAGTCCTTCCCAGGCTGGCCTGCAGGTTCTCCAGGAGTTCTGGGGGATAACCTAGTGGTGCAGCTGAGGCCAGAGTGACCTGGTCAGAGACCCAGGGCCACGGACACCCAAGCCATTTGACCACAGAGTCATATGGAAGACTATCCTTGGGCACCCAATCAGGTCTTAGGAACTCGGGACTCTGGACCCTTGTGTGGTATTAATGGCGATGCCCCTTCTCTAATGAAGCTCGCCTTTTAGAAGGTTGCAAGTCTGGGAGACAGCACTCGTCCAGATGACTCTCTGAGGAAGACATTTCCCCAGGCTCCTGTGTGAGGACAGTGGGGCCAGGGCTGGGGCAACACTGGAGCACTTGGCTAGTAAAACATCCCAAAGGGAAAAAAACACCATATCTAAGATTTTTTTTTTCCAAAGCTCTGGGAATCACAGAATTTGGCAGGGACCTTAGGTCCTACCTACCATTACATAGGCCAGAAAACAGAAACCCAGAGAAGGGAAGAGACTTGCTGAGGTCGCACATCTAGTGAGAGGTAAAGCCAGAGACTCTGGGCTCTTGACATTCTGTACCACGTCTGTTCTCCCACAGAATGAGCAAGCAGAATGGGCCCTATCGGGAGAGGTGCCTGCCTGTTTTTGGCTGTCAGAGCAAGTTTGGGGCAATATCCTCTGTCCCCAGACTACGTGAACCAAGTCAGACTAATTTTAATTTTGCACAGAGCGAGCTAAATTGTGCTGCATGACTTTGGAAGCAGGACTCAGAAGCCAGCATCGAGTCAGAGAGGACCTGGCCTTCATGCAGGTGTACCGCCTCCTGTTAGCGGCCCCTCCCTGGCCTTGTGGGGAGCGGATCTCTTTGCATCACCAATGCGCTCCTACCCTGGGGTGCTTGAGGGGCCCATCTGATCTGCTCAGAGACCTGGCTTGTGATCAAGGGTGCCCTGTACTCCGGGTTGGAATAACTACTGACCACTGCGGCCAGTCCCTGCCAGCCGAGAGAAAAGCCCTCGGTTTTGTTTCTCATCTAAAGCTCACTTGTCCTGGAGGTAGAAGGGGCCCAGCTGTATTTCCTTCTCCCAGAGACATGAACCGCTCAACCTACACTCTGTTCTCTTTCTCGCTTAAGCATTCCCCTTCCTTGGGACAGCATAAGGATGGGAGCTTCCTAAGTCAAACTCCAAACTGATCATTCCCCAACCTGGACCCGTCTTTACTTGCTCACCAGGCAGGGTGTACAGGAGAGAGATGTGTCCCCTAAAGTCTTCATACCTGAGATTCATGGTGGTGACCGCAAGAAGGGTCATCACTTCAGGGTCGTTCATGCAAAATCAGTGCAATTTTCATTTTTAAAAAATCAATAGTTCTGACTATGTAAAAAAATCAATGTTTGAAAATAGGCATAGGCTTAATTAGAGAAATATTTAAATCCGTTGACCAAGAATTAATATTTTTTATATACAAGAGCTCCTATAAACCAATAGGGAAAAGGTGACCACCTAAGAGAAAAGGAACAGAACATCCCCCTTAAAAAGAAGAAATGCAAATAGCCAGTATGCTTATGGCGGGGGGTGCAGGGCGGGGGCGGGAATGGTCACTCACTAAATATTTAAAAATGAAAATGTAAACCATTGTGCTTTAAAAAACTATCAAGTTGATAATAAGCTCATGGACCACCTAGTTTAAAATCCTGGCCCTCTTACAGACTGTGTGACTTTGGGCAATGAAATTTATTAAACCTCAGTTTCCTCATCTGTAAATTGGGCATGCCATTAGTACCTTCTTAGGATTGCAGTGAGAATTGAAGATGATATTAATGCACAGCACTTGGTACTGTGCTTGGAAAGGAGTTAGTGGTTAGGGTTAGTAATAATAAAATGAGAATACACTGCTGGTGGGATGCATTCCCACCAGCAAGATATTTGTCCTTAGACGTTAGGAGCCCTCACTTCTGCAAATTTATCCTGAGGAGATAGAGATATGGATAAGGTCCATAATAGCATTCTTTGATAAAGAAAATTTTGAAACAAATGAGAGTAATTTAAATTATAATAAATTTATGTAATAGAATGATACATTTATATGATAGAGTAGAATAAATTTATGTAATAGAATAGATAAATTTGTATAACAGAAATAGCACTTATATAATAGAATGTTTTAGGTTAGGATTTTTCAAATTTTATGCAAATTTTACATCCTCCGTGATGTAAACAAATGAGATATATATAAATTGAACTTCAAATGGTGTGGGTGGGGCAGGAGGTTCCCTGTGGAGCTTTACAAACAAGGCCCTGTGTCCCCTCCCTGACTCACTCCTAGGGCAGCTGCTGAAAGAGGTTCTGAGGCTCCAAGACTTTTATTTTTATATTTTACTAGAGGCCCAATGCACAAAATTCATGCAAAAGTAGGCCTTCCTTCCCCTAGCGGCTGCTGGCACTGGCTTCCCGCTGGCACTGGCTTCCCTCTGGCACCCAGGACCCGGGCTTCCCTCGCAGCCCTGGCTTTGTCCGGAAGGTCGTTTGGAAGGATGTCCAGTCTAATTAGCATATTACACTTTTATTATTATAGATCTTTATTGTTGAGAGTTTACAGATGTCCCCCCTTATTCCTCCTTGCCCACCCAACCCGGTTCCCACTTAACCTCAGGCTTTCACCACCCTGTTGTCTGTGGGTTATGCATATATGCATATAAGTTCTTTGATTAACCTCTTCCTGCACCCCGCCCACCCCCCCCCCCCCCCCCCACACACACACACACTCTGAGATTCATCAGTCTGTTCCATGTTTCCATACTTCTGGTTCTATTTTATTCATCAGTTTATTGTGTTCATTAGATTCCACATATAAATGAGATCATATTTGTCTTTCTTCTACTGGCTTATTTCACTTAGCATAATCATCTTCGGTCCCTCCATGCTGTCTCAAAGGGTAATAGATCCTTTCTCTTTTACTGCTGCATAGTATTCCATTGAGTAAATGTACTACAGGTTTTTTTTTAATCCATTCATATACTGATGAACACTTGGGCTGTTTCCAGATCTTAGCTATTGTAAATGATGCTGCTATGAACATAAGGGTGCATATATTCTTTCTGATTGGTGTTTCAGGATTCTTAGAATATATTCCTAGAAGTGGGATTACTGGGTCAAATAGCAATTCCATTTTAAATTTTTTGAGGAAACTCCACACTGTTCTCCACAGTGGCTGCACCAGTCTGCATGCCCACTAGCAGTGCAGTAAGTTTCCCTTTTCTCTGCATCCTCACCTGCACTTACTGTTTGTCGATTTATTGATGTTCCAGTTTTTCCTCTTGGTGCAGGGCAACCTCCTAATCTGTATCGCTGCTCTCTCCTCACCCCCTCTGTGTTAGATCCCCTTTCTTTTGCATCCACATTTTCTTTTTTTACTCTTTTGTTTTAGTGAAACAAGAGCACATGTGAGATACATTTTTTGAGATTACATGCCTGAAATTGTCTTTATTCTATTCTCATATGATTCATAGTTTGGCTGGGTATAAAATTCACACCCAAACATTATTTTCCAGAATTTTGAGGATAACTTCCACTGTATTCTAACTTTAAATTTTGTTAGTAAGAGAAACATCGATGTAAGAGAGACACATTGATTGGTTGCCTTCCCTCTCAGGCCCCAACCAGGGCTGGGGATTGAACCTGCAACTGAGGTATGTGTCCTTGACTGGGAATCCAACCCTCAACCCTTTGGTCTGTGGGCCCACACTCTAACCACTACGACAAACTGGCCAGGGCTGTTGTTTTTTAAAATTGATTTGAGAGAGAGAGGAAGGAGAGAGAGAGGGAGAGAGAGAGAGAGAGAGAGAGAGAGAGAGAGAGAGAGAGAGAGAGAAACACTGCTTGGTTGCCTCCTGTATGCACCAGACCAGGAATGGAACCCGCAACCTAGGTATGTGCCCTGACTGGAAATCAAACTCACAACCTTTTGGTGTATGGAAGGACACTCCAACCGAGTGACCTGGTGAGGGCCCTCCACTGAGTTTTTTAATGGGCTGTTATACCTCCTAGATTGATCCTCTAATTTTCTTACTCTTTTCTCCTATTTTCCATCTCTTTGACTTTTTGTTTGACTTTCTGGGAAATTTCCTTTATCTTTAAATGCCTTTACTATTTTTTTCTGCTGTCATATATATTTTTTCATTTCTAAGGGCTGGCTTCAAATTTTTTATTGCATCCTATATTAGTTCACGAATGCAATATCTTCACTTATTCTGAAGAATTATGGTGTCTTTGAAATGTGCTTTTCCATATGCCATCTGTATTTTCGTTGAAGTCCTCTTTATCTGTTTACTTGTTTTGGTCTTTCTTTCATGTTGGCACTTTTTTCTGATGTCTGTGCCCATTACTCTCTGTGCTTGGGCGCTGCTTATTACTGACTGTATTCGCTATAGGACTGTTGCATGGATGAATGGATGACTAGCTGGCTTATTCTTTTGGAATCCGTAGGCTTGATTTGTTTCTTCAAAGAATCATCTTCCAATCTCCTGCCTAGAGTCAGAGGGGGGAGAAACCTGGGTGCCAGGGTCTTGGAGTTAGCTGGAAAGGGCAACTGCTAATTCCCATTGATAATCATACAGTCCATAGAAAATCATACAGTCACTAGTTGTCTAAACAGGCTGTCACCACACACCCACCTCTGTGCCTAGCATCCCCATGTCCAGGGCCTCTCTGGTTCAGTGTCTGAAGGGAACATAAATATTGCCCCCTGTGGAGACCTAGCTGTAAAAGTTCAGAATGAAGACAACTTGAGGGTCTAGCTGAAGTTTACATGCAGATTTTCAACCAACCTCTCTTTTCATGCTCCCACCTTAATCTCACCTTTCTTAATACCTGGTTCCTCCAATTACTGATTCTTTCTGATGTTGCTTTGGTGCCCAGATTTGACCTACATCCACTCCACTAGATGACTGAGATTCCTCCATCTGTTTCTGTCTTCATGTGTTATGATTTGGGATTATAGATACATCCTAGTTTTATTGAAAATAGTGACAGAGCTTTTGTTTTTTGTATTCTTTGCTTTTGGAGTGCTGTTGAGAGAAGGGGAAGAAATGTCTTCACACCACCATTTAAATCCCTAAGTCTCTGCCTTGGTTTTTAATATAACTGTAATTATATTTTTGGTTTCCTGTATCCTCTAAATTTTCTGCAATGAACACATATTACTTTAATAATAAAAAAAGCACACCCCCCCCCACACACACACACACAATGTTATTGAAGGCCTGGGACACTAGACCCTGCATCTTCCTTCTCTTGCTGAGCCAGTTGGGCTCCTGAAGCCCCCTTATCTTTCACCCCTCAGCTTCCTGACACCATGCAGCCACCTATGAGGCTTCAAGCATCTGCCAAAGAGTACCACACCCTCCTTGTCAAGGAGCACAATCCTGGTTTCCTCATCTCTGAGCCAGGGCTGGTTATGGAGTAGCCATATCAACCATGCATGACGTGGATCCCTTCATGCATTCTGAATGGTCATGCCTTCAAAACCACAACAGTTTTTATAAAAAGATAATTCAGAGTGTGTGTGTGGCATTTTGCCATGGCGTCTATTGATTTCTTCCCAATGGTGCCATTGCAGTCAACAGGGGGTGGGCATTATCTGGGATTTTTCCATGACTACTTCCTACAGACCAATATACTCCCTCCACTTGGACATACATGAGTGGCCCTTGGGAAGCCGGCACACGGCTTTCAAACACAATTGAACTTTACTGGCTCTACCAGATCTGAGGGAAATCAAGACCCTAAGTTCTAACCACTAATACCGCCCACCCCCCGCCTCCTCTCCCCCACCCCCACCCCACCCCGGCCAGGCCTCCACAAGTTCTGGACTCATGGGGCTAACAAGAACCCAGTGAGAAATCCCAAAGCTGCAGAAATAGCCCTTGTCCTTGAGCTCTCTGACGGGCTCCACCCTGGCCTGAGGACGTTGCTATTTCAGTTGTCCTGGTAAGCACAGGGATTCCAGGACATGGGGTCTAGCAATGCTCTTTTCTTCCTCCTCTACCACTAGGATCACAGCCTTTACAGACTGACCTACAAGTAGATTTTGCTGGGACTCCTATGAGAATTGATCCAGCTAATTACTAGTGAGGAAATTGCTCTCTAAATTTAACATGTCCATCATTCTCATCCAAAAGAGCAGCATTGATGTGGTGGGCTGAGACTTTGAGGTGATTTGTATTTAACCCAGCAAAAACTGCATGGGGCTTCACAGGTTTACTCGTTTACACCTCACAGCTTTACTCATTTCTCAGTCAATTTTGATTTTATTAAACTCAGCATTGTAAAAACCTCATAAAAGAACCCTCATCAATTCTCCCCTGCTGGACTCACACATTCCCGCTCTGGAAGAGCTGCTAAGAGAACGGGCAGAGATTTCTCCTGTCGTGTTGCCACTGGCATACCTTGTGTTCCCACTTGTGGATTTGTTTATCCCTACTCTCTTTTCCAAAAAGAGACGTGTGTGATTGTACTCACACATGGAAAGGTATCCTCTATTCAAGTCAAACTCTACTCGGGTCATTTCCTCCACCCTGAGCAGCCACCTGTCACCCCAGCGTGCCACTCTGACTAGGCCATCCCAAGAGGAGCCCACACGCATACGCACGAAGACAGAGATCCCTTTGGAGACTGGATATCACCTGTAATAATAATGCCACAGCCCAGCACCCTTTTTGTTGCTGTAGCGGTTGTGATCGTGTGTGTGTGTGTGTGTGTGTGTGTGTGTGTGTGCGCGCGCTCCTGAACAGATGAGGGGCCAGAAGCTCCCAAGCAGGTCTCAGCCAACAGCTCTTTTGAGCAGCGACTGGAAGACAGTCTCCATAGCGGCACGGAGGCTGGGCTCCTGCCTCCTTTCCTCCTGGGCCACCTCCCGTGCATTCGGAGGACAGGGCTGAGGTCTGGGCCAGCCCAGATTAAAGGGCTTCTCAGCAAATATGAGTCTTCAGTCCTCAGTCCTCACTGCCTCTGACCAGAGGTATGAGCCTGGGCAAAGTACACACTGCTAGGCACAGGTGGACAACCTGGGCCAGCCATGGTCCCTCTGTCACACTGTGGCAGCACCACAATGACCCAGCCCTGAGCAAAAAATCCAGAGCTTCTGAGGCCATTGGATTAATTCCTTTCAGAGATAATCAGGTTGTAGCCCAGGCCCTTTCTGGGGCCAGCCAGAGAGGGACAGACTCAGCCCATGATGGCTACATGGCTGTCATTTCCAACCCAAACCTAAGAGCCTGCCCTCCTGCCATCTCTATTCTCCAATTCCTCACATGCCCACTAGGTCCACAACCCAGACATGGCAGGGGAGGTTAGCATGATGGTGAGTCGAAAGGCGGCCATGAGAGACCTGGGCTGAGCTGGAACTGCAGCCACGTGCCAGCCTGAAGCCAGCCCTCTCTCCCATGGTCACTGCCAGCCAGAGCTCTCTGAAGCCGGATGGGACCCCCACAGGGCAAGGCAGCAAGTTCTTGGCCTGGTGCAGAAGGAGAAAACAAAACTGGCTCCACAGTCTCATCTCCACCTGCTCTGTGCCTTAGGAAGGCAAGGAGCCCAAGTCCCCAGGACAGTGGTATCAGCTGTTGGGGAAGCACCGTTGTCCAGGTGAGGCCTCGGGCCGGAAGCTGTGTTTGATCAGTGGGCTGGGGTAGTAGGTAGTTGTGTACACATTGGTCTGCTGCAATGGGTAGAAGCTGGCTTTGTCATCAGGAATCAGGTTATTCTTGTTCAGGGTCTGTGGGAGAAGGAAGGAACAAAAAAAGGGGGCAAGGGACAGACAGGGAAAGCAGACAGCCAGGTTAAGGAGATCAGGAGCCAGTCAATGAAAGGACATTCTAACTGCTGATGTAGTATCCTGTTCACAACACCTTCCCAAGTGCCCAGCCCAGTAAGCCCACCTTAGAGCCAGAACCATTGCACCCATCACCCTGCCCTCTGCCTCTATAGGAGGGCTCTCACCTTGAACTCCATAGGTGTGTACTTCTCATTCTTAGGGGTGCCCCCACCCTTGTAGTGCAGGTGGTTTGGTGTGGCAGGATGGACGAGTGTGGACTCCTGGGACTGGCGCTGGCAGTGCTGGCAGGACAGGTACACGGCCAAGGTCAGCAGCCCAGAGCCCAGGAAGCAGGAGACGCCCGTGGCTACCAGGTGAATGAGACTGAACCCTGGGAGAGGGAGAGGTAAGTGGTAAGGAAAGGGCCACTGTGCAGCAGAGAGCCTCCCAGCTGCCTCCCAATAGGAGGCTCAGAGACATAAAGGAAGAGCTTTGAGCCCAGAGCCAATGGAAGCAGGCAGGCTGGGCAGCCCCTCACCAGGGCCGCTCCCACAGGACCTCCTAGGGCCTGGGTCAGAGGCGAGCAGAGGATGTGGAGTTGGGTGACTTGTGACTTCTTGAGTATAGACTTGATGACTGCCTCCTAGATGGGGGCATGGATGAAACTGCCCAGAGCCCCCTCCACATGGTCTGAAGCAGTGGGGAACCTCCACAAGGTTTGTCTATCTGGAGTAGGAGGTGGAGAGGTTCCAAATTTCAAAGTAAGGTGGGCCTCCTCCTGGAAGAGGAGGGTAGGGGACAGTGTTATAAAGGTGTGGGGGCAGGTTCCTTTTACCTTCACAGCCGGTGGCCTCCTCCACACTGGAGGCAGGCAGGATCACTGCAGGAAGACAAGCAAAGAGGATGTTGGGGCAGGGAGGGGGGCAAGAAGGGTCCCCGTGGGTCAGCACTGAGCTGTGGGATAGGCCTGGGGCTACCTGCCTCCCACTCTGATGTTCTATCTTGCACCCCCACCCCCCAGGGCACATGCTTCAGAAAGGGAAGGAAGCTGGGGCTCAGTGGGAAATGGTGGTGAGAAGGGGCTGGCTGGAAGGCCTACCGGGAATCTCGCTGTAAGGGCAGGGGCGGCTCTGGCTGCTGTTGCCAGCACAGGTGCTGGGCCCTGGGACCAGGTCCTCACAGTGCCGACTGCGGGCTTGGACTCCATCCTCGGTGCATGCGCTCCACTCGGACCACAGTGACCAGCCTTCTGTGGGTTGTGGGTTGGGACAAGGTTAACTGCCCCAGCACCCTCTGGTGGGGACTGGAGAGCTCCGTGGTGCTCCCCAGCCCGGGCCGGTTGTACTCAGTACCTGGGCAGGCCTGCGTGGCACACAGTGCCTCCTCCGTGTGCAGCCCCAGGCAGATGTCCTCTCCTGGGGAGGGCGCGGGGCTGGTGCAGGACCGTGTGCGTTGATAGTGGCCACCACCGCAGGAGGCTGAGCAGGGGGACCAGGCGGTCCAGCAGGACCAGGAGCCCCGCACTACAAGGGGATAGGGTGTGTGAGGGGAGCTGCAGGTGCAGGCAGGACCCGGAGGCAGTCTTCTGCCCCTCCCCAGGCAAGGCCACTTCTGCCCTGGGCCACACAGACCTCAACACCGGCTCCACCCGACTCCCACAGTTCACTGTGGGGAGAAGCCCCTCCCTGTCGGGGGGGCGGCTCCCTGTCCCAGGCAGGCTGCAGAGGAGTCATCAAAAACCAACTCAAAACAAGCTCCTTATCAGGCTAACCCACTAGAGGAGAGAAAAAGAAATGACAGGAAGGTGAGGAAAGCTCTGCTCTGTGGGAGTGGCTGCTGAGTCCTTGCTCAGGACTATTGCTCTGAGGCCCCTGGACAGAGACGGCAGGGAGAAGAGGTCACCCGAGCATGAGCTGTGGCCTGGGAGCCTCCTCGATGGGGGTTCCCCGGGTGGAGGTTTCCCAGGATTACTTAGCACAGGGTTACCTGGACAAGCCTGGGGGTTGCAGTCCTGGTACTCGATGGCGTCCCCCACGCAGGGCAGGCCCCCGTTGCGGGGCTCGGGGTTCGTGCAGGTCCTCTTGCGGACGTGGAAGCCCAGCTCGCAGTCCCGGGAGCAGGACGACCAGGGGCCCCAGGAGGCCCAGCCCCCGCTCACCACGTGCTGGGCGGTGCCCCCGCTGCGCAGGAGATCCTCCACCAGGGCTGAGGGTGGAGGGACTGGCTTCAGCAACAGGGGCTTCTTCCGAACCTAACCGAGCCACCCAGAGCTCCGCCCCGGCCCCGGCCCCGCCCCTCGCTCTGCGCCGGGGAAGCTGGGAGGCAGGTGGGGAGGGTGGGATGGACGAGGGGCTGTACCGTCTGTATCACAGGTTCCCGAGCTGTCTGCCGGGCAGGTTCGGGTCTCCGTTCTCCTCCTGCCAAACTGCAGGCCGTGGGGGTCGGGCAGGGGCGCGCGGCACGTGAAGCGGAATCGCTGCTCCTGCCGCGCCCCGCCCTGGGTCACGTTCACGGGCAGCCATGGCGTCCAGGGCGTGTTGCGCCGCACTTCGGGGCAGCCCTCTGGGTTGCAGGTCTTGAATTCCTTGGGGAGAGAAGCTGGGGCTGTTTCATAGCCTTGCAGCCCCCAGGCCTGCCCCACGGTCCCGCCCGGCCCACCCTCCTGTAGGTTACAGATTCCGAGTCCAGCCCGGCCCTCACCACGCCGCAGCCGGGGCAGGAGTTGCCATTCTCGCAGGCCCGACGCCGCGACTGCACGCCGCCCCCACAGTTGCTGCTACACTTGCTCCAGGAGCCCCAGGATGCCCAGAAGATGGGTACTGGGCAGGGCGTGTTCTCATTGCAGAACCTGAGGGGCATGAAGGGAGGGGGTCAGCCCTCTGGGGAGCAAGCGCCCCCTTCCCTAGTAAGAGGCCCTGGGAGTGCAAACTAAGAAGGACGAGAGTCCACTGGATCACCTGGAAAACCCCAGCCCATTTCTACGAGGCCGGGAAAGCCTGGGACCTCAGGGCTAGCTTCTCAGAACCCCCCAGCACAGACTAGCTCACCGCTCCTCCCGGCTCTTGCCCACGCAGATGCGGCCCCCGTGGCGGGGAGCAGGGTTGCTGCAACTTCGCTGGCGGACCTGGAATCCTATCCCACAGGTCGTGCTGCACAGGGCCCACGACGACCACGTGGTCCACGCCCCGTTCCTGGCGGGGTCAGAGGGGACAGAGACAGATGACATCTGAGCCCTTGCTTCTCTGATCTAGTCTACTTCTGGGCAGATAGACTTGTTGTCAGGAAGTGGCAGACAGTGACTCAACCATCTGTCCATCCATCCATCCATCCATCCATCCTCAAACATGTGTTTGAGAGCCTTCTTGCATATATCAGACTGTGCTCAGGGCAAAGGGTACAGAGATAGGACCTGGGCTCTGCTCACAGGGATAAAAGGACACATTCTCTAGAAACGGCCCCTATCGCCTTTCCCATCTGCAACCTTTGTTTCAGCCTTCTTGGTTAGCTGATTCTTGCACTCAAACCCATGCTCCCTCTCCTGCTCTACACCCTCAAGTGCTTTGCTCCAACCTTAGACACCACTCACTCCCATCTACTTTGACTCCAATTTTCAAATGTTGGCTCTACCACTTACTGGCTGGAAAAGCCTGGGCAAGTGACTAAAACCTGTGTGCCTCATCATTCGCTTATCTTTAAAGTAAGGATAATGATTATATGCCTACCACCATCAGGTTCTTGCGACAGTTAAATTAATAAATGTATACAGAATTAAGTTATTTTACGAGTGTCCAGAATTGGGGGTTACTTGTGATAACCACTTCATGAGGTCCCCAAGTACTAGACAGTGTGCAGACACTTTATACACATCACCTCCTGTAACGCTCTCAACAACCCTTGGGGTGGGAGTGTTGACCTCACTTAGGGAAGCTCAGAGTGGTTCAGTGGCTCGGCCAAGGCCACACCTCCAGGCAGTGGCAATTCAGGACTGGCACCAGGCCTGCCTGCCTTACCACCATGCCATGCTGCCCCTCATGTCTGGGACAGTAAGGCTTATTAAGGCTAAGGCCTGTCCAGGAGTGACTCCCAAGTCTGTCCAGCCTTCCTCTTTGTATCAAGAGTTCTCACAAGGCAGAACTTCTCTCCCACTAAAGTGGAGGCTCCCCCAATGCTGATGTTTCCTGCCTCAGACTTTAGCTACCTGTCCAGTTGCCTGTAAAGCGCTGACGTGGTTTCCACCCTTTAGTGCAAACATCTGGCTAGGGACGCCCCACTCCAGGTTAAGACAGTAGCCATGCAAACCCTGTATCCACACATACCTGGAGCAGTTGGCAATGTGGATGGCTGGCCCCAGGCAGTCTCGGCCCCCACAGCGGGGTTGAGGGGTATCACAGGCTCGGGCCCGACACAAGCAAGAGCCTGAGTTGTCCCCATCTAAGTGCTCACACGGTTGCCACGGTGACCATGGGCCGAAGCCCCCATCCTGAGTCACATTCCGCACCTGCAGACACACATCAGAGGCGGGGGTCCAGTCACAGAAGGCAGGGGTAGGGAAGGCAGGAGGTCCTAGGGGGTGTGGGGATTCTGCTGGGGAGTCACAGCCTGAAATGGGGGGACAGGTCCTGGGTGGGGTGGGGGAGGACGAAGGGGTTCTCACAGGACACGCTGTGATGTTCTGGGTCCAGAGGCTCATGTTGGAGCTGTCCTCGAGGGTGCTGCAACGTTGCTGCTTCCCGTCCCAGCCACAGTACGGATCCCGAGCCCCCAGGCATGCCCTGTCAGACAGAGGCCCTGAGACTCAAGCCCACTGGCCTCCCAGCCTCACTGCATCCCAAGAATACACCTGGCCACTCCCCTCTGGGCACCTCTGTCCATCCAATTCCCCTCCACAATGACAAGTTCATTGAACACTTACTATTTGCCAGGCATCACTTTAAGTGCTTTACAAGCATGTAAGAATGTAATACAACACCCCAATAATGAAGGCACTGTTATTATCCTCCTGGAGTCTGCAGAGGCACTTTCCATTGGCCAGTGGGGCCAGGGGTGTCAAGGGCTAAAGGGCTATACTAAAGAGTCAAGGGGTTGCCCCTGTTGGTGTCTCCTTGAAGCTTCAGGGAGAGTCACCTGTCAGGCGAGTTCTTTATATTTAGTGAATTCAATAGACCGTGCCTCCAGACCAGGCTCCAGAGAAAAAAGAGGTTTTATGAGAGGCCTTACAGAGAAGAGGGTGGGGCTTCCCTTGTCAGCAGCGGAGGTCAAAGAAGACAATGCTGTCCCTTCTTCCAGCAACCCTTGACCTGCATATGGGAGGTGGGGCTTGGGGCTTTAGTGGGTGAGGGCCTTGCTGGAGCCCGGGAAGCATACTCTGGCCCACCTGGGAATGCAGAACATCATCTGTTGCTCAAGAATCTGTTTCCACTTTATTCACTCAAGCACAATTTGTGTAAATTGTATAGTATATAAGTACACTCTTATTTTCATCTAGGATCAATGGTTTGATTGGGGGATGTTTTGCCAGCAGAATGCATCAAATTAGACATTATGGGACTAAATACACGTGTAAGCATAGCCCCAGCAACCAGTGGTTTTCAGATTCTGCTCACGTGCTGACATTTGGACCAAATTGGCAGCTAGCAAACTCAACCAGTTAGAATTCAATAAAGCCCACTCCTGAGTGCATTTCCCCCAGCTCTCCGAAAGGGATACCAAACTCTAGAAGCAGCTGATACTGCACTTAATAAGCAACATACATTAAATTTTAAAAAAAGAACTAACCATGACTAGTGGTTATTAATAATAATAAAGATGCTATTTATCAAAAATATATGTCTGCCAATAGAGAAAATGACTAAGAGCAGCACATTTGAATCAGTTCACACAAGATCAAAGCAGAAGATTCAGGAGGAATGCAAGGCATCATTCTTTCATCTAGGGCCTAGCCAGTTCTAGAACCGTGGTTTCCAGTCTTAACTGCAAATTAAAATCTCCTGGGAATCTTTTAAAAACCTCAAGCAAGCAAACAAACAAACAAAAACCCTGCCTTTATCTGGGCCTTTGGACTGGAGTAGGCCCAGTCACTGGGAGCTTTTAAATACTCCCCAGGTGATTCTAATGAATAGCATGGCTGAGAACCGCTGTTTCAGGGCCACTTTTGTCAATGTTCCAAAGCCCAGACATAAAGTACCCTGTTTCTCCAACCCATCACGGAACAAGAAAGTAGCGAAGAAAAACCTCAGAGTAGATGCTAGCCCCAGCCCCCCCACCCCCACCCACCCACCCTGCACACCCCACCCTCTCTGTCTTAAGGATCCCTCACCCTCTCTGCCTCTCCTATTCCAAGGACACTCCTGCCCTGTTCTGTCTGGCCCTGGCTCTGGCTGCCTGGGGAGGTCTGCAAGGCTGCACTGAGACTAGTGCCTGAGCTCTCTTGTCTACATTCACTGCTTTAAGCCAAATGAAGTTCCAAAGCTTTCAGGGCATGGAAGAAAATGAAAGCTCCAAGCAGGGAAGAGTTAAACTGTGTCACTTACTGTAGGACTGGGTGGCAGTTTAGAATTGTGTGTTGTTGTTTTTTAAAAGCAACCATCAGACCAATAATGTATCACCATGTATTTTTTACTTCAATGTCTCAAGCAGCCATTATAGAAGGGAACAGGCTCATTCCATGGGCTCAGAGGGGGAACAGAGATGGATGGTGGAGGTGGCAAGCAGGCAGTTTCCAGCGCCAAGTACCAAGGCTCTAAATGGGAGCTGTCCAGGGTAGCAATGGTGTCCCAGGAGCTTGTGAGCAAGTGGCTGTTACTTAAGATGGCAGCAGAGGTGGGGAAGGTCAGGAAGAGACACTCTCAGAGCCTTCCTCCTGCGGGAGCTGAGGTAGAGGCCACGCCCCTCCAGTGCAGCCTGATTGGCATGCTGGAAGGAGGAAGGGGTGGGTCATGCATAAACACCTGCTTTATAGAGCCAAGTCAGCGTCATTCCCTGCTCCTGCTCTTGTGAGCCCTGGTCTCTCCCTGGCCAGGCTAGGGTTCTGGTTGTGCCCCACAGAACCTAGATTTCCCCGAGTGAAAGGAGAGGGCTGGACACAGCCCCCAGATTCTGGGCAGAGGAGGGGGGCCCCCAAAGGCGCTCGGCTTACCCACCCTCATCCTCCTGCCAGCTTTGAAAGGAATGAGGGGAAAAAAAAAACATGAAATGCCTATCCTAGGATAAAACTCTGTGACAACCCACCCATATTGCACAAATTCTGATGTACATTGTATGATAGACAGTTTGGCTTCCAGACTCTGAAGTGCACAGCTTGGTGGCTGCACGGGTTTACTCCGGCCAATTTATTAACTTTGCAATAATGAAACATCACATTTTCCATTTTTACATCCACCCAGAGGTTTATGGCAGGGTTTTCACTGAACACACAAATGGCCCTTATCCCAAACTCAGGAAGCCAAATAGGATGAAAGTTTCAGACTCCCAATTGACCTCTTTCTAACTTGCTGTTCCACCTGGCCATGCTATGCAACCTGCCTGTCCCTTCTCTGAAGCACTATGTGAGTGGAGACCTGTCCCAGCAACAGCTTTCTTCCTCTCTTCCACTACAGACCCCATTATTTCACATCTGACCAGAGCCACATTAGCTCATGCTGCCCGACCATCTGCCCTACGACAGTGCTGCCTGCCACTCTCTGATTGATCTTCATGAAACACCCATTCACTCTGTCACTCCCCTGCTCTAAGACCACTTCAGTGCCCACAGTCACAGGACTCAAATCAAAATTCTCCCTTGGCATTCTCAGTTGGCCTCAATCCACTTTCCAGCCCCATTCCGCACTCCTCTCCTGCACCAACCTCCTTTCAGGACAAATCAAGAAGGATCAGTCATCTGTGCAAGGCCAGTTGATGCCTTGGGCTGGGCGTGGCCCCTGGTGGAATATAAAAAATACTGGGACACTGAGTTTACCTTCAAAGCTTTACAACCTCTTAAAGAGCAAGGCACATGTGAAAAGTTTAACAGCAACACAAGGGTTAATGAACACAAGCAATGGGGGAAATGCCATCAGCAGGAGCCTGTGATTCACTGCCAAGAATTGCTATCTGTATTCAAGGTTGGAGACTGCAGACTCCAGAAAGCCCAGGAGGCTGGAGACCCCTGAATATATTTCTAGAGAGAAAAAGGAATAAGAACACTAGCTACCACTTATGACTCGCTGGATTGATGCTTCATGAGCATTACTCCCAATCCTTACAATGATCCAGCCCAAATTTAACAGGATTTGCTCCATCACTGTGTCACCCTATTTTCCCAATGAAAAAGCTGAAGCACAAAAGGTTAAAGAACTTGAAGATCAGATCAATAGTTGACAATGGAGCTGAGATGGTACCCGGGGCGTGTCCAATTCCAGCATGTGAGTCCCTCCCACCGCACCCCTGTCTCTCCCCACACATCAGATACAAGCCAAGATTTCTCTCCCCAGCCACACATTCAGAACTCCGAGGAAAATGAAAGCGTTCCAGACTTAGTTCCTCTTGCCTCGCTCCTCTCACACGGACAGCCCTGCAAAGGGCTCTGAGCACGGGAGGGCTGAGTGAATGTTTGGTGTTTTGTTGAGGGAGCCATGTGTTGGGGCTGAGGGCAGCTTCACTGCCTGCCCACTGTCACCCTCCCCCTTCCCCTGGCTGCCACATCAGAACTATCCGGCCTCTTCCCCTGCTCTCCAGGCCTCTGCCCGGCTCCCAGCACACCCTCCTGGGGCTGGAGGACAACCCTTGGCAGCAGGAGATCCATTTGTCTCCCAAAATCTCAAGGACAGATGGGCACAGCCAGGAGGTATCTGTGTTGCAAAGAGCACAGGAGCCCGTGTGGCTGTGGCTCTGCCAGCTAAAGGCCGTTCTTGATTAGCTCAGAAATGAAGAGCTGCAGTTTGGGGGAGGCTCGCGTGGTGGGAGTCTGAGCTATATCTCCATTTGGCTTTGGAATAAGCTTTTGTTTCCCCCCTTAAATGCCAGTGTCTCTGTTGCCAAATTTGTGAAGCCGCTTGAAGCTAAGGTATGGGGACCTGATCGGGGGCACAGCTGGGAAGGGTATACAGCTCCGCATGGTTCTTCACCTCCATCCCACCCCAGGCCGGCTTCTGTGTCTCTTCTAAGGAAGGAAGGAATAGGAGCAAAGATTGGGGGGAGGGGTGACTCAAAGCGCGTCTCCCATCTGCCCCCACCTCTCCCTGACAAGCACTGTGGTTTCACAGATAAAGACACTCTCTGAACAGAGGGGACAGAGAAGAAGTTAAGTGGGCTGTAACTATATGGGGCTGACAATAGGGATGACAACAGTGACAGTGATTTATGATGATTATCCCAATTAACCTTCACCAGAACCCTGCAGAGATTTTACGAGGAGGAAACCAGGGCTCAGAGAGGTTAAGTGACTGGTTCAAAGGCACACAGCTGGAGACTGTGCCAGGATGCCATGCGGGTCCAAACAGACCCCGAGAGCACGACGGGCGGGCGGGGATGAGCCCGAGGAGCCCCCCCGCCCCCCACGCTGGCTCGCTTACCTTTGGTTGCGGTAGGAGGCGCACCTCTCCAGCGGGACGCGCAGCACCCCGTCGCTCAGCCCCACGAAGAGCGCGCGGGCGCTGTGCAGGATGCGCAGGCTGCGCAGGGGCTCGCGGCGTCCGGGGGGCAGCACGTGCAGTTCCTCCAGGTAGCAGCCCCGGAGGCTGCGGCTTGCGGTGGAGAGGGCCTTCAGGATGGTGCCCGACTCTGGAAGGGTCAGGTGAGGGTGGCCTTAAAGGGCCGGGAACCTCACGGCCCTAGCCCTCGCCCCTCAACCTCCTCCCACTCCGCGCCCCGACCCCGCGGGCCGGCTCACCCGTGCCGATGTAGAGCACGTGGTAGAGCGTGTCCTTGGCTTGCACTAGGTCCACCACGAGGTGTGAGAAGCGCACACTGTCCTGGGTGACGCAGGGCTCGGGGGTCACCGGCTGCACCGCCTCACTCATCAGGAACAGACGCTGTGCGTCCTGCAGGCTGCGCTCCGTCAGGTTCTCATTGGGGCCCACCTCGGACAGGGTGCCGCACTGCGCGGGGAGGCGGGTCACCGGTGCGCAGCCACTGGGCTGCGCAATCCCTGACTCCCTCCTTCCTTAGTGTAACCCAGGCGGTCACTGGCACACTCTGGTTCTTCAGTCCTCCCCCACCCAGTCCCCTGCACCCCCTTCCAGGAAGCGATGCCTCTTTGGGAACTAAGGGAAACTGAGGCTGGGAAGGTGGGGCAGGAAGGACTTGCCAGGGCTGGGGAGGGGAGACTGATTGTATTGTCTAAAAAATGGATTATTTGAGTGCGGATAACAAGTGTCCTCTGATCTTATGCTGTGGCTCTAGGCGCCCCTCCCTCATGTTGTGTCAGCTCTGCCTTCCTCTCTCTTGTCCCTACCTGCTCAAGTTCATATGCCTTCCAAACCAAAACCGGCAGACTACCACCATTTAATGAGCACCTACTACATTCCAGGCACCACATCAGGTGCTTATCAACCCTCACACATATCTATGAGGCCAGTGGAATTGTCCCTGCATGCCAGATAAAGAAAAAGTGACGCAAGAAGGTTGAGCGACTTGCCCAAGGTCACACACAGAGAGAGGGGGGGTAGGTCTGGGTCAAGCTTGTTGGACCACAAAGCCTGAAGTCTCCCCCTGCTCGCTTCTGGCCTGGACAGGAAGTTGATGGACATTAAAGTCCACCATCTGTAGATTCCTTTGCCCCATGGCTCTTTCCCATTCCACCCAGGGCACCCAGTGCCCTTGAGAGGGTTAACTTGAAACGCAGGCAGATAGGGCAGGGGTCCAGTGGGAAACAAAGGCAGGTAAAACATAGGCAGGGGCAGGCATGGCATTTTGAGCAGCCTAACCATAGGAATCAACCAAGCAGAAATAATAAAATGTTTCTGGACTCAAAGCGGGAGGCATGGGAAAACAAGGGAGGGCCTGCAGTAAGCAAGATGTACTAACGCATAGAAACAGAAAAAGTTCAACACAGGAACAGAAAAACAACACAGAGAAACAGGGAAAGTTTAGATCCGTTGCTGGGAAAAACAATTGAGGAAATCAATCAGGTGATGACACACCCTCACCACTGCTGACATTGAAACCCTCCAGGCATTAGTACCCAGGCAGACGGCAAGCAAGCTTCAGCCAAAATCCCCAAATTCTGCCAGACAGAACATGTGTGCTCTCCTGGCCCGACCTCCCTACCTTCCTGGAAGAGGGGTCACATTTAGAGCTGGCTCAGACCATGATCCCTTGCTCTGTGACCCAACCGCTCTACCTTTCTTGTCCCACAGGCTTAGAGGTTACCACCCTCGTAGGGGACCACTGCAGACCCCCTCAGATGGGCGCAGATGAGCAGGGACAGGCTTGGGAGTCGGCTTGTGACTGGTAGTCTGGTGGAAGGCCATGTGTACAGAGAGGGGCAGAGAGGAGAAGCTGTACCTGGAAATTGGGGATGGGGTTGGCGATGGGGAGCCAGGCAGCCCTGGGGTTCTCCTGGTAGCGAAACGGGCCGTTGAAAGCCTGGGAGATGGCACTGAGGTTGAAGGCGCAGACAGCTGAAGCAGCAATGCTATTTCTGAAAGGCAAGAGTTGATGGGTTGCTGCCCCCGCATAGGCCTCAGCACTCTCCTTCAACCCCACAGCCAGCAGTCCAGGCACCACCTGGCACTGCTCCAAGGCTGACTGAACACCTACGACGAGCCTGGTGCCTCCTACATGCTGGGGGGTTACAGAGGAGGAAACGTGGTCCTTATGCTCTGGGAAACCTCTGGGAAACAAAGGCCACTGATGAGAGCCCTGGTGGGTTTCTCCGTGCTACCGCCTCATCCCCTTCCCTTCTCCCGTGGGAGGGTCAAATAAACTCAGCGTTTTCATTTTATCCATGGCCACTATAGGAAATATCCTATATAATAAAGAGCTAATATGCTAATTAGACTGAACAGCAGACTGACCTTCTGGAATGACCTCCAGAACGACCAGTGGGCGGGGGGCATGGGGCAGGGCCGAGGGGCAGGGCTGAGGCAGCCGGGGCTGTGAGGGCCAAGCACCTTGCAAGAATTTCATGCATTGGGCCTCTAGTATTTTATATTACAACTTAGTATAACGCACACATATATGCACACACACATATGCAATGAAGTTTTATGAAATAATACTTACCCTTATTAAATATATTATACTCTGATATTTTTATTCCAGTCTATTCTGTGTTATTTATTTATTTATTTTAAAAGCAGGTTACCAAACCACTGATATACTGCAGCCCACAACATCCTGAGCCAAATGACCTCTAAGACCCCTTTCAGTCACAGAGTCTCAGGTTTCTATGAGTCTGATGTGAACAGTTCAGAGATGATATCACTACACCAAGTGATTCCAGTTCCGTTCTCTGCATTTAGTTCTCTCTCAAATGTGTCCATTTCTGCCTGGTCTCCGCCGCCATCATCTCCCCTGGATGCTGCCCTGGGCCTGCCGCTGCCTCGTCTCCTGTAATCCATTCTCCACTCAGCTGCCAGAGTGTGTGCTTCAAAATGCACATCCCAGCTAGTATCTGGCCTGCTTCAAGTCCTTCAATAATTTATTGCTCTTAGGATAAATATCAAAACCAGTAAAACTGTCTACAAGGCCTGCAGGACATAATCCTCCCTCTCCCAGCCCTTCTGCCTCCTCCTGTCTTTTTCCTCCTCTCCCTCCAGGGTCTTGACACTCTGGTCTGGCTCCGTTCCTCAAACATTTCTTCCTACCCAAAAGCTTTGCATGTGTGGTTCCCTTGGGCTAGGCTGCTCCTCTCCCCTAGTTAATTCTTATTTATCCTGTGGGCGTCACTTCCTACAGGAAGTCTCCCCTGATCACCATCCTTCTATATGTTTAGAGGTTTCCCTGTGCACTCACTACCCTTTCCCTTTGTAGCATTTACCACGATTAAAATGGTGAGATATTAATATCACAGCTACTGATAACCACCCTCTCTAGAAGGTAAGCTCCTTAAGGTCTGCTCTTGCTTTGCTGGGTAGGGTTAGCAAGGCCATGGAGTCCTGAGGCTGGAAGGGACTGTAAGACCCTCTCTGAGTCTCCCCAATAGGCTGTTGCCGGACCCTTCTGGAGCTGCCATCCCCTCCTTCAAGGCAGCTGTTTCTCTCTTATCACCACAACTTCTTCATGAAGCCACAACCCAGCTCCTTTTATTTCTTCATATCTGGCCTAGCCTGGCCTTTATGGCAACTCAGAATACATGCTGACCACGGCAGGGCAGCAAGTCACTAAATCCTCAGAGGACCCGGTGCAGAAGGCACAACAGTTCCCATTGCACAGAAAGAGAAACAAGACTCAGAGAGGAACTTCCCCAAGCCCACCAGGCTGTGAGGCCAGACCAGCGCCTGTCCAGGCATCCCAGGGAAGGGGTGGCGGAGGCAGGGACTCACACGTTGGTGGTGAAGACCCCGTAGATGAGGTCCTGCTCGGGCAGGTGGAAGGCACTCTGCAGCTCGTTGTAGTAGAAGGGGACCTCGCCCGGACGGGAGCAGTTGAGCCGGGCCTTCATGAACGTGGTCCACGTGTCCTCCAGCAGGAAGCGGCCCCCCACGTCGTTCTTGCACACGCGGGCCACCCGCGAGTACACGGTGCGCCCGCAGTCATGCTCCACTGCGTTCTCTCGCAGGAAGAAGTACGCAAACAGCCCAATATCATAGGCTGCCACAAAGTTAGGCTCTGGGGGCAGAAGAGGAACAAGGTTTGGGTCAGGCCAGCAGGGAGGAAGGGGGGCGGAGTCGGGAGTAGTCGCCTACTTCCGTTTTCCCAGGTGGGCGTGACACCCTCTGACAGCCTGGCGACCTGGAGGTTCTAACTAACCCTGCTCCCACCTCCAATGCAAAGGGCAGTTGTAATAATAGCTAACATGCATTACTGGGCACATAATAGTACCCAGTACTATTATGTACCAGGCACTATTATGAGTACTTTATATGCATCAGCCATTTAACCCTCTTAACCACCTAGGAGGTTAGCACTATGATCAGCCCCAGGTCATAGATGAGAACACTGTGGCACAGAAAGGTCAATACTTGCTCAAGGTCACACAGCTAGTTAGTGGAGAAGCAGGGATTCAACTCCAAGGGACAGGAAACTCATGCTACCCTCCCCAGTCACTTTCCCCCCATAATCCAGCCTCCAAATCAATTCCCAACTCTTCCTTTCTCCTCACAGCCTACCCCTCATCTGCCCTGGGTGCTCAGGGCATCTGCGATTCCAGCCAGAGTCCATCTCCTTGGGCAAACATGCACCCTACTCTGGGCCCCTTGATGAAGCCAGTGCGAGACCTTTCAGAGGTTGGGCAGGGAGGAGGTCTAATGGGGGTCAGGGTGGGCTGGGGGAACCCCACCATTGGGGCTGTGTCTCCTTACCATTGAGCCACTTGGAGTTATACTGAGCAGTGCGAAGGGGCGGCCCACTGCCCAGGCTCCGGTAGATGGCAGGGTCCCGACCTGAGAAGTCGATGACTGTGGCTGCGTAGAGCTCCCCCTGGGAGGAGATGACAGCTGTGGAGTTGTGGCGAGGGTCGTAGGGGCAGCGGGCCACGCCATTGATCTTCTCCATCGTCCGGCTGAGGTTCCCCACCTGGGATGGCGGGGAGATGGGGCACTTTCCCCTGAGATCCAAGGGCTGCCTGTTTTCCCACCTCAGAGTTTATTTCTTCCTGGGCCCCTGGTCTCTGTGAGCCTCTCCCTCCCAGCCTCCCCCTCAATGCCCACCCCACAGTCCCTCTGCAGAAGCAGCCCTCATGGAGGGGAAGGTTGTGTCAGGAGCTCCGCCTGCCTCTGGCCCCTGTGCAGTCAGGTACACCGAGAAAACACAGCAGGCCTAGTAAAATGTGAATTTCGATGAGCAACAAATAATTTTTTAGTATAAGTATGTCCCAAATCTTTTTATTTATTTATTTCAAAGAGGAAGGGAGAGGGAGAGGGAGGTAGAAACATCAATGATGAGAGCAAATCATTGACCGGTTGCCTCCTGCATGCCCCCTACTGGGGATCAAGTCCACAATTTGGGCATGTGCCCTGACCAGGAATTGAATCATGACCTCCTGGTTCATAGGTTGACACTCAACCACTGAGCCATGCCATCTGGGCAGTATGGCCCAAATCTTTCATGGCACATACTTAGGCTAAAACATAATTTGTTGTTTATCAGAAATTAAATCTAACTGGGCATCCTTTCTTGTTTTGGGGTTTGTGGTTTGCTAAATTTGGCACCCCTATTCCAAGTCTATGTGCCTGGGCGGGAGAATCTGCCATGTCCATTTCTGACTGCCCCTCCCCACCCCCCGAGCGGTCCCCACCTGCCTGCTGGAGCACATGGGGGAGAAGGCGTTGGTCCCACACAGGAACACCTTCCGGCCAGTGACAATCAGGACGCGCACGTAGTTCTGACACTCCTCCTAAAGCAAGAAGGGGAGGTGATAAAGGGACAGCTCTCCAGGCTCTGGATGTCTTCTCCTCTCAGCACTGCACCACAGATACGTAAAAGCACTGCCCTGTGTCCCAGCTCACCCTGATCTGAAGTTCAGGTCGCAGTGTGGGTGTCCTCTGCCCCTCTATCTCCCTCCCCGGCTGTCTTACTGCATCACTGCCCACTCAAATGCTCAGGGCTGACCTCACCTGCCCAGGAGCCCCCAGTGCATCCAGTCTGGGCCTGTGCAAGGTGGCCTTGTGCCCACAGCATGCCTGTCCATCCCGAAACCACCAGCCTCCTACTGGCCCCAGCCAGGATCCGGGACCAGTAAGGCCACATACCTCCGTCTTCCCTTTGCTTTGGCAGGAGCGGCGCGTGTCCTCGTTGGAGGCCCACTCTGTGGCCTGTGGGGGGAGGACACAGACATCACACAGCTGTTCCACTCGCCGCCAGGGCAGGCAGCTGTCAGGTCTGGGTGGACAGGAAGCTGGGAATGGGTCAGGGACAGCCTGCAGGGTAAGGGTTCCTCTCACTATATCCACGGGGACCCAGTGGGCTGCAGACCTCAGTACCCACTCTTTAAGGAGTGACCATCCCCTCAGCCCAACACCCTCCGCACCTGCTAGGGTCTGGGGAGGTGGAAGTACCAGCTTCCTCAGCTGCATCCCCTGCAGCTCCATCCTAGGACCTCCCGGAGCCTTGCTCCCCGGGGCAGCAAGAGCTGGAAGTGGTCCACCTTCAGGACCACCCCAGGCCTGAGTGGGCAACGGGAAACGTGCTTCCCTCATGTACCACATGTCCCTCAATGAGTGGGAGGCAAGGAAGGCTAGATTCTGTAAACCTCAGAGATCTGTTTAATTTCCCCACTACAACCCTGCAAAGTGCTTTTTTGTTGTTTTTAGATGAAGAAACTCACATTCTGTGTGACTTGCTGCTGCTATAGAGTAGAGCTGGGATTGGGACCCACATTCCAGATTCAAGGGCTCTGTGTGTGTGTCTTTATCCCACCATCTCCAGAACTCAGGACTTCCACTCTCCCCACTGCTCTCCCTGCCCCAGCTCTGAGCTGTCTGCATCCCTTCTTGCTCTCCTTTAGCATCCAGCATGCTCTATCATGAGGCAACGTGCCCGGGGACACAGCTTTCACTCAGGGACCCAGAGGACACTGTCATGTTCCCAAGTGCCCATGGCCTGGGAGGGGCTGTTCCCCTCCCCGCTTTATCTATTCTGTCTCTACTCTCAGCCAGTCCCTCCTGGCCTCCGAAGAGCATCTGGAAGGAGAAGTGATACCTTTCAGGTCCAGGCAATGTCAACAGCCCTGGTGTGTGGCTCTTTAGAGATTTCTGGGTCACATGTATAAATATGAACTGCCTACCTGTCCCTGGAGCAGGACCCCTGAGCAAGCAGCTCTCCCACCCAAACGAGGACAATAAAAGAACCCCTCTTCTTATTTCTAACAAAGCTCCTTCTAGCTGTGCAGTCACTGCCTGCTAGGGTCTAGGGGCCCGGGGGTGAGAGGGCAAGAAGGGTGCCTGGAGGGGGGGCAGGGGTGCTCTCTGATTTTCAGATTGCAGCCTCCCACAGGCCTGAGGTGATTGCTTTGTGGGGCCGAGGGAGGGCTGACTTCCTGGATTTAGGAGCGGTGACAAGTTTGGTCATGCCTCCATCAGACCCGGGAGCAGGCTGGGCTCATCCTGCCAGGCCAGGGGCTCAGGGGAAGGTCAAATGACCCCTGGCATCTAGCCACATTGCTGTGGGGTTCATTTGGACAGAAACCAGGGAGCCACTGTCATCCTCAGGGCCCCAGCAGCTCCCAGGCTAAGCCCAGTGTGAGAAGGAAAGAGGGGCATAGACAAGAAACCTCAGGGCTTTGTGGGTAGAAATGCGCAGTGACTCACAAACATTGCTCATGTCCAGGCCTAAAGCTCCGGAACGCGGATGGCTGCGGAGGACTGTGTGGGCAAAGGGCCTCGCTGGGGCCTTGGGACTCCTCAGCACAGGGACACTTTGAAGGGGTCAGGCTTGTTCCCAAGGAGGTGGGAATCTCACTGGGTGGGGTCAGGTGTGTTCAGTCAAAAGGAGTTAAAGTCACCCTGGGCTGAAACCGGTTTGGCTCAGTGGATAGAGCGTTGGCCTGCGGACTGAAAGGTCCCAGGTTCGATTCCGGTCAAGGGCATGTACCTGGGTTGCGGGCACATCCCCAGTAGGAGATGTGCAGGAGGCAGCTGATCGATGTTTCTAACTATCTCTTTCCCTTCCTCTCTGTAAAAAATCAATAAAATATATTTTTTTAAAAAATAAAGTCACCCTGGGCTGAACCCCAGGACAAGCACTGTGCCAGGCACTTGCCACACCTTCTCTCTTGATCCTCAGCACAGCCAGTGAAACACGCAGCCCTTTGCTCATTTTACAGGTGAGGAAAATGAAGCTCAGAGAAGTGGAGCCATATGCCCAAGGTCACAAAGCCAGTAGGCAACAAACCCAACGTGCCAACTCAGACGAGACCAGCGCTCAGTTCTCTCTGCTGCATCCTACAGCCTCTCACAGCAAATAGATTTCTCAAACCAAAAGCGAGAGCAGATGGCCTGCAAAGAATATGTATATTTATAATGATAACAGCATAAAATGGGCTTGAGTCATTTATTTTATTTAAAAATTATTTTTATCAAAGTAATGATGCACAGAGTTGAAAAAGTTAGGTAGTATGAAAAAATTATTTAAATAAGCTCAAGTAGCCTACTCCTCTCATACCCCAGCCCCATTTCTCAAGGTCAACTACTTTCAACTATTCCTCTGTGTGTGTTTAATTCAGTTTCTGAAAAATATGTGTCAACCTCAGACTCATCTTCTGACTTCTGCTATGGAGGTGAGGATTTCCCCTGCCTACTCATCCCCATCTCTCCTACCTCACAGCACACATTCATTTCACCCTCCCCATCTTCCCATTACAGTTCTGTAACATTAATTCTTTAATCTTTGAATGTGATAGTAATTTAATTAAAAATCAACATTAGTATTTAATTAGTATTGTAAATATGTAAAAATTGTTCACTACTACCAACTTAATACCCCAGGTTGCATCATTGATTGTAATATGAACCACTAAGAAAGAATATTTGCTGCCAAACCTTTATTACTTAAAGTTTTAATGTAAATTTATTGACAGTGCTCTTATTTAGACATTTAAAATCGTATACCGGTATTGTATACAAAAAAGAAAAATGTAAGCAGAACTGAGTATCCTTAAATCTTCTCTGAATTCATAGTTCATCTCGTCTGAATCACTTTTCTATTCCATTGTCAGCGCTCATTTTTTGTTGCTGTTGTTTGCTTGTCTTGGCATATCATTCTTTGAACTACCCAGGGTATCAGTGATACAGCAATTCTTAAAGAATGTTCCACTCTGTTCTCCAGAGTTTTCTTCCAAGCTATTGATCCCATCCTGCAAGATTGGATGCTGGCACTTTCTTGGTCTTACCAGAAGGTGCTCGAAGAAGGTCCTCTGACAAAGCAGAACTCCTATTCCCTCCTCACATCATCTGAAAATGGTTTGTGGACTAAAATGTCAACGGGTTGGTGTTGTAGAATTGGAATACGGGAATGATGACCAGGTTCAAGCACAGGCAATGACAGCTCCACCAGAACTGCTGTCTGGCCACAGCGACTGTAGGATGCCTTCGACGGAAAGACGTGGCCTGATTTCAGACTCTTTAAAAATGTGAAAACGTGCATCTGAGAATCAAGGAAATTTGCCTATTCTGATGAGATTTCCTTTCTTGATCAACTTTTTGTTTTTCCTGAATGGAATAATTATCTTGGATAATTTTCTTCATTTGCTTGTTTTGCAAATTACTAATTTTCCCCAGGGGCTCAACAGGTGTTACAAACCCCTCTCGATGTTGTTGGCTAACTGCACACACAAATGGTTCAGATAATCTCTGAGTCCCCATCCTCTTCCTCCTGCCTGAGTGTGGACAGAAGCCTCCTGCATGCCTGTTCACCGGGGACTTACCTTCCCTCCTTTCCTGCTTGCTGAATCCCATGTTTCCCTCTTTCTTGATTTACATGCTTATTTTGGTGGAGCACATCTCCAGTATCTTCCTAAGGAAAGGAACATGGTAGATCAATTTTTAAAAACTCTTGCATGTCTGATTCAACCTATCTTCATACTTGATTGACAGTTTTGATACAGATTTTTAGGCTGAAAATATTTTTTCACTCAGAATTTCCAAAGCATTTATTCCTCCATTGTCTTCTAGAATCGAGGATTGCTATTCTGAAGTCTGGTGTGAGTCTCATTCCCCATCTTTGGTAGTGAGCATTTTCTTTAGGCTCTGGGAGCTTTCAGGGTCTTCTCTTTGATAACCGAATCCTGAATTTCACACGGATGATGTGCCTTAGTGCAGGTCTCTTTTGGGAACTCAGTCAACTCTTTCAGTGTAATGGCTCATCCTCTGTTTTGGCAAATATTCTCATGTTATTTTGTCCTTAATTTCTTCCTCACCTTTTTCTCTGTTCTCTTTCTCTGTAACTCTTATTAATCCAATGCACTGTTGGTCTTTGTATATTTCTCACCTAGTTTTCTGTTATTTCTCTCCTGTTTTTCATTTCTTGTTTTATTGTTGTTCTAATTTCTGGGAGATTTTTCTTCAATGTTATCTTCTAAATTCAAATTTTATTTCCACAAGCATATTTTTTTTTAAATATATTTTATTGATTTTTTACAGAGAGGAAGGGAGAGAGATAGAGAGTTAGAAACATCGATGAGAGAGAAACATCGATCAGCTGCCTCCTGCACATCCCCCACTGGGGATGTGCCCGCAACCCAGGCACATGCCCTTGACCGGAATCGAACCTGGGACCTTCCAGTCCACAGGCTGATGCTCTATCCACTGAGCCAAACCGGTTTTGGCCACAAGCATATTTTTAATGTCCATATTTTTAACTTATTGTTTTATGTAACAAGATATATTTTTATATCTCAGAAGAGTCTAATTATTTTTCCTAATTAATTTTTAATGTTTTCTTTTAGTTCTTGCATTGACCCTGTTTCTGACAGCTTCCTTCACTCAGTTTTCTTGTTTGTTTTGATCCTTCTCTTTCACTGAGGCTTTCCTCAAATGTCTGGGGATTTTTGACTATTTGTTTATATTGGAAAATGAATCTCTAACCATTTCCCACTGAAAGGAACAAAAACTTCTTGGAGCAATGGCTTATTCCAGATCTGGGTTTAGGGAATGTGCAAGGTGAGCCTCAAACATTTCCTTTATCAATAGCAAGGATGCAATCACAGGTGATTGGCATCATCATGTCAAAGGACCAAGGAGCCAACTTGAAGCAGCCCCTTAGTGACAAAAGATGGGATAGTCATGCAATGGATAGATAATGTTTAAAGCCAGGAGTC